ACTCTTACAAAATGGCTACTACAAAACCCAAATCAATAAGGGCATTCAAAAACATCTAAACCCCATTTCATCCAAAAAAGAAACCTTGCCGCCGGATCAACCCAAAATCTTTCTACCTTTTATTAAAGGTGTCACTGACAAGATCAGTAGAACTCTTCTTTTTCTAAACATCAAAACCATCGTCACTACTCATTCCAAGTTGTCCAATCTCGTCAGATCCGTAAAAGACCAAATCCCTAATGAAGACCATGGTGTTTACGAGATACCTTGTTTCAGTTAAGAATTGCTTCAGCGACCTCCCGTCCACACCGCTCAGGCCACGTCAGCTCAGACCACGTCAGCGCATACCGTTCCCTTCCCACGCATACAGCAAGTATAAAAGCAGCCACACAGGGTAGGGTAAGACCGGTCCGGTTGTCACTCGACACTGAGGAGTAGGTAGATTTAGACCTCAGTACCGAAAGACAGTTCTTGTATTTATACAGAACACAATACTGGTACGTCTCGAGTGAGGGGAGTAGGCAGATTGAGACCTCGAACTTGAACCGAACCGTATCACTCTTGATAATGGCTCCAAAATGGCAGCCGAAACGTCAAGTAATAAATTCTCAACGCGGTTCTTCCCGAGAACTAAGTAATTTTAATTATTATGATCTCGAAAATTTATCCGAACATTATATATACCTATATATATACAGGGTGGTGAATCGTCAAACGGGCCATAGGAAACTCAATGAGAAATTCTAAATTGTTGAATTCCTGCTTCCCTAATTATTTTACACCAAAAGTCATGGGAAACTATTTGTAGAGGACTCAAATATGTATCGAAAACAATTGTTAAAATTGTTCTACGACTTAAACGTATTCCAAAATTTTGCTAAAATATAATACATCTTTCAGGCCACCCCTAAAAGTCAGGCCAGACGCCGTGAAAAGAATGTGTATTACGTGTTGCGTTTTGTCATATTGACGTTTCTAACATTTGACAATATTTAATTCAACTATATTATATTTATCTGTGATTTAAATGGCCAAAATTTTGTGATTTATTATTTAAAAGAAAAATTAAGTTGATTAAAAAATGTACTCAGTTAAGGAGAAAAGAGCAATAATAAAAATGTTTTATTCATGTTTTATTATAACATTTGTTCTAGTTTTATGTTTAGAAATTATCGTATATTATTATTAGGAATAAATAAAGATCACAGTAACAGTATATTGGAATTCATTGAATTGTTGTATAACTTAACTTAACATGGAATTAAATTTTAGTGTATTAGAATATCTTACGTTAAATAAAGATCCGGTAGTGACATAAAAAGGTTCGCGCTATTGCCTGAATACAACAATATGCGATTTTTCGTCAACTGAGTACATTTCATTATATTGATCGATTTGAAAACAATATAATTTATTGTTCACGAAGTAATATTGTTCAGTAGTAGTAGTATTTAATAAAATTCATTGTTTATAATTTAATCATAAAATAAAAAAATTGACAATTCAAATTGTCAAACATCTGACATTAAAATGTGTTAAAACACACACGTTATAATATATTCTTGTATTACGTGTAGCCTAACTTTTAGGGGTGGTCTGAAAAATCTATTATATTTTTGCAAAATTTTGAAGTACATTTGATTCGTAGAACGGTTTTAACATTTGTTTTTAATTTAGAATTTGGTCCTGTACAAATAGTTTTTTATGACTTTTGATCTAAAATAATTAGGGAAGCAGCAATTCAACAATTTAAAATTTCCCATTGAGTTTCCTATGACCCGTTTGACGATTCACCACCCGGTATATATATATATATATATATATATATATATATTCTCTCAAATTGTTGTATAACTACCTCCGGAGGACGTTATCAAAGAGCACATGAGATAAAAGAATAGGTTTTACCCAACATGTATTTACAAATTCTAAATTTCGTGAGAGGAGCAGATTTCGTAAGTTGCGTCAATTACTGGGAAACCATCAGCTAAGGCAAGAAAATAGAGATACAATATATTGCAATGTGACTTCTCCACTAAGCGTATTATCAGTGTGGAGAGCATTGGAGAAATTAATTCAATACAGTTATTGCGGGACATATTAAATGGAAGGAAGTGAGTGGTGTATTCTGTAAAAGCAAAATTCCTATGAAACTGAAAGGCAAAGTCGTTATAAGACTAACAATTTATGTTCGGCACTACAGAATAGAAGCTGCAGAAAGGATAATGCTTAGATGTATGAGTGGAATAGATACAAAGAAAAACTATAATAAAGACTGTACTTATTAGAGGAATAAAGGTGTCGTAGAAATTAATGCCAAAATGTGGGAAAAACTTCGCGAGGAAAAAAAAACGCGACAACGATGTTTACCCAATATGATCAATCGATGAGTGAAAAATTCCTGGAAAGATATCTGTGCATAATTAGACAGGGCATATCAGTGCTTAATATTGGTGTAACCGAATTTTACTTTCCTTATTTCTTTGATACCTTATTTCTTATCTTTTCAAATTTTCGAGAACAGGCAAGACGGGAATCGTAAATAGTATATTCCGTGGATGATGTCCTGTCTCTAAGTAGCTAATAGTAATAAAAAACATAATCATAAAACTAATCAGTATAATTCTGAAAATATCGCATTCTAAAATTTTTACAAGTAGTCAGAAACTTATGATATTTACATTTGTAAATAAGAATATTGTCTATATTTTTAAGTTGTTGGCTCCAGGTATTTAGAATTTAAACATATATGCTAAGACTCTAATATGCACGTTTATGCTCTATCATGCGTTTGTCAAAATTGTCTCTGTTTGTCCGCACATCATATTTGGGAATCCAAAAAGTGATTCCTTAAAATAACTAAATATAATCGTAAATTAGGTATATAAGGTAAGAAATTATCAACAGCTATTATTTTACGTACAAATTCTATAGTGGATAGCATTTTTTGACAAAAACGGGCAAACTTGACACATTGCCAACTTAAAAAATTTAATGCTTTGATTTATTATAAATTATAGTTGTCATATCTTCGGGATGGCACTCGTATAACCACGATATATGTTGTCATAAAGATTTAATTAATCCATTTGACAATTGATCGCTTTGTCGCGTATCTCTACGTATTGTACCAGTTCATAACAACGACTTCTTCCCATTTCTTAATTTTAATGTAAGCATAATTCTTGAAATAGCTTGTTACTGTATTTTACCAATTTGTTTTCTAATGACTATTGATACAACGATTTAGATCATGACGCAATTTGTAAACATCAGTCATCGTAGCACCAAGGCCTTGTTTGTAACGATCTTAATGATTTATATCCTGTATGGGAGTGAAAAATTTATCAATTAATAGATCTTAATGTAGACATTCTTATTTAGTGAAGCTTTTATGGAAATTGTATAAGTACACGGATATATATATTTTGTCGGTCTCTTGTAAATAAAAATGCTTAACTATTGCTTAAACGTTTCGAGTATTTGCCATTTTCAATAAGCCCTTTATTTTATAAAAAATTACATTATACATTTATATTTCATGTTTACACTTTTTAGAAGTTTAACATATATTAAAAAAATGTTATTTGACATTGACATATGACATCTGGCAGGTCTCTTAAAACAGGAGTGGTGCAGTGGAGTCAATATATGCCATGGAGGATTTACTCAATTGATTAAATTATAATAAAGATTGAAAAGATCTTTGATTTCAGTCTTATTATTGATAGAATTTGGATCTTTTTTTATGTGAATCATCTACAACATGCATCTTTTGTTGGAATTTTGTTCTTTTTCCAAAATCTGTACATTTTTAATATCAAAAGAATGTCTATTTTCTAAAGAATGTTTGGCTAGGGCTATTATATTTAATCCGTTGGTCTGAACACTATGGTTGTGTGCAACAACCCTTCTATGTAGGTATTGTTCATATATATATATATATATATATATATATATATATATATATATATATATATATATATATATATATATATATATATATATATATTGGGCAAACACAACAACAATGAGAACTGGTGCCCATTGATATGTCTCAAACCAAGCTATACGTGATGATCTAAATATATAATAACCCGCCGGTCAAGTTGTAGGTCTAACTAGTAAAACAACAGTTTTTTTTGCAAACATTATTATTTATTCATCATAATAAAATCTTTTAGTGGCTATACACCCATTCCGACGCTTTTCTAATTTTTCGATACAACCTTTGTAGAACGATTTACCTTTACCTTCAAAATAGGCTTTAGTTTCAGCGATTACTTCCTCATCGTAACGATATCTCTTACCACATAGCATTTTTTAGATCGGATAAAAGGTGGTAATCGCTATGAACGAAATCTGGACTATAAGGTGGGTGCGAAAGGAACCCAAAGCCCAATTCGTGCATTTTTACTATCGTTTTCATCGACTTTTGACATGGTACGTTGTCTTAATTAAAAAATAATTTTTTCTTGAACAAATGAGGCATTCTTTTGCGATTTCGGTCTTCAAACGTTCCAATAAACTACTATAGTAGTCGCTGTTTATTGATGATGATGATATGTATGTAACAAATTTATATTATATATCCGGATGCATATAGGTGATTACATATGAGTTCGTATTTAGTGACAGTAGGTGTGTTATGACAAAAGTATGGCTGTTATCCATATTTCAAATAGGCAATAAAAATATTTGATTGCGGGTCACAAAATATAGAGGCCATACAACTTTCCGGCGGTTTGTTGTATCTTTGATCGCTTTGGGCGGCTTTTTCTAAGTGCTGTCCACTCAGATGACTAGCGACTTGTGGAGTTATGGATCCATGTTTCATCTATTATGATATAACTCTGCAAAAACTCCTACTTATTCCAATTAAACATGTTCAAAGTTTATAGTTTGTATATAGCTTGTACAAACAGGTTACCTTTCCTATATTCTTGACAGTTTGTCTTCTTATTTTTGGCAACTAACTTTTACTATATTTATAATTTTAGGAATAGGATATGCAGCAGCTGTGATGTCATGTTGGATGAACATATATTATATTGTAATTTTAGCTTGGGCTATATTCTATTTTTTTATGTCTTTAAGAGCAGGTGAGTACTTTTAATTAATACAAAATGTACACCTAAAAAATATTGATATGGCCTTAAGCAGACTGTATGATTCACTCTGTAGACTTAAAAAATGACAAATTTTTTTCAAACTCACATTCACTTTTAGATGTGCCTTGGAGGACTTGTAATAACTATTGGAATACGAGGTTCTGTATCAACCCTTATGATCGCAAGTCACTAAATTGTTGGGAGAAATTCACAGTTAATAACACTGTAACAAAGGTCTGCCAAATAAGTTCCTACAATATTTCAGCCGATGATCTCACTGATCCTGTTAAGGAGTTCTGGGAGTAAGCATATTAATGATTTTAATAGATTATCCTACAGAACATATCTATTCAATAATATATATTATATTTTTTTACAGGTTTCTTTAGTCCATTAGTGTATATTCTAAGCTTTATCTTAAGATTATTTTATTCTTGATCGATCTGAAGGCTGTACCAGCAGTTTTCTCACTACGAAACGCTTTCTCTTACATAGTTTTGATTGGTTTAAATTCTTAAGCTTAATAACTATGTGGTCTTTAACAACATTTGGTACGAATTGTGGCCAACATGTCTCTTAGAAATAACGAATCACCCTCATTAACTGACTTATTAGTTTATCGCACATTTCCATTTGTTGGGGGTTCAACATTGGTATGTTCATTAGAACTAATTGTTTCAATGTATCTCGCTCATATTAACTATCACGTTGCAATTCTAGATTAAAAGTCTCGTTATTTTAAATAATTAGATTTTAAATAATTAAGTGGTTACACTGCTTTTTCTATATAGTTATTCTGATTTAGTTATCTTTCCTTAAGAAATATCCTTCTTGTTACCATTTTCTAAAATCTTCTTTTAATCATAAATGCGCGGAAAAGGATTTTAGACCGAACTAACAATACCAAAATAAAATTTCGATCTTATAGAATATGTTTGTTTGTTTATAACTAGAGACTGGATTTTATGCTCTAAAAAATACAGTACGTGATACACGAAATAAAGATGTCTGTAACATTTACAATAGACTGATTTAAATCTTAGCATACGCAAGTGTTCCTTCCTTTCCCTTATTGTAGTCCAGTAGGATTATATATCTTTTTGGCATTTCTTATTTACATTTTGATTTTTTTTAGATTGCAAAACTTTGCTTGCATAATTAAAATTTTCATAGAAAAATAATTTTTGCACCGATAAAGGTTTTCGATTCTTTCCTATCAATACAGTCTTGAAATAACTAGGCACATAGTATACTTACTATGCTGTATGAGTAGGCTGTAAAATTTAGATAGTTTTGAATTGCCTAATAATTTGTTATTTCAGGCGAAGGGCGCTCCAAATCACAGAAGGAATCGAGCATGTTGGTTCTATTAGATGGGAGTTAGCTGGAACTTTGCTGTTAGTGTGGATTGTTTGTTATTTTTGTATCTGGAAAGGCGTTAAATGGACAGGAAAAGTAGTGTACTTTACTGCGTTATTCCCCTATGTTCTTCTGAGTATATTATTAATACGAGGCATTACATTACCTGGAGCCGTGGAAGGAATCAAGTTCTATGTAATGCCCAACTTGTCCAAACTGACTGAATCGCAAGTGTGGATCGACGCAGTAACACAAATATTTTTCTCTTATGGACTGGGGTTGGGCACTTTGGTGGCTCTTGGAAGTTACAACAAATTTACCAATAATGTCTACAAGTAAGTAAACTGTTTAAGTAATTTTTCTTTCATTCACCACAAGTTCCATAAAATAAATACTCAATTGTGTTTCCATGAACAAAATAAGAGATGCAACATTTCAAGGAATAACGTTTCTTTTATCTTACCATAAACAGTATTATAAACAAATAAACAGTTATCACCTTTAAAAAAAACTCCAAAAGTGTTTATTTTAGTGCTTTGTGAAAACTGTCACTAATAATACTGGTGTTACCGCTAAAAATAACGTAAACTTAAAGATAAGTAGCGATAAAATTTGTTCTATTTTGTTTGGAATCTCTTTTTTACTGTTGTTAAATTGGTTACTCATGTCCACCTCTATTGCGTAGATCTATAAAAATCGTGTTTAATATTCTTTGTTCTTCTTCTTTTAGTTTTATGACCGTTATTGATCGTTGGATATCAGGTTGGCTACCATATTCGCTATCGTGACTTCATAAACAGCAGCTCTAAATAGGATGTAGTCGATTTTTCGTGCCATTCCATTCTTTGTTTTAGTGTTTTAATACTCTTCTTTCGAGTTTTTACTTTTTAGCAGTAGAAGTTTTTCTATATTTTTTTGAGTTTGACTCGGAGTAGATTGACTGACGGAATACGCAGTCCCTCTCTTGTTAGTCAACAGCTTCGAGTGCACGAAATCAGAAAAAAATAAGAGCACCTCCTTGTACCTGGAATAAGAAATTATCCTAAAGACGAATGAACCGATAAACGGTTAACGGTGTGGAGATAAAGGAGGCAACGGGAAACCACTATTTAAAGATTCTTATGGATATTTCAAGAACAGTCGTCATGTCAAGCTACAGCGACGAAACAGCAGTTACTGATCATAGATTCGGACCCCAAGATCCGGCAGAGGGAAACGATCGGACTTCTCTGGTCGCCAACAAACGGAGACCCATTTTAAGATACATGGGCAGTAATTTGAGCCCATAACACCTTGTTACTTTTCGAATCCAAGAAAACCAATGACTATGATAAATTAATGAACGACCAAAAATTTGAAGGTTGCTTTTTAAAGACTTTATTAAACCTTGAACCAAATTTTGCCGTCGTTATGGGCAAATGTATCTTACCATAGTTGGCAATAATTCAAGCCGTCACCAACAATTGCCTGGCGGAAAGCGGGCATCATGAACTACCTCTCTCAAGGCAATATCTCATTCGATGACAATATGTTAATTGTAGAATTATTAAATCCTGCAAGGAAACATCTACCTGAGTACAAGAAATACGTAATCGACGAAATGGCTCTTGAAAGAATACAACTTTTTTTTTATTTAAAGGTAGCCGCATCAACCATATTGGTTATTAGCGGATGGATTTAATGTAAACAATAATAATTACGAATAACAAATAAATAACATACTTATATGTGGTTCAATATGTTACAGTCTCTTAAAAAGTTCATAATATTTTCACTGGTACACTTACTATAAATATCTCTTATGGAGATAACCGATGGAATTTTATTAGTTAGGCTTTTTAGACTTCTAATGACGATAATGAAACTTTAAATAACTTTCATGATAAGATTTTTACTGTGTTTACTAATTATATTCCAGTTTATAAAAATTTTAGCCATAAATACCCACCCTGGCTCGATGCTGATATCATTTACAACATCAAATTAAAAGCAAAGTTTAGAAAAAAGTTTAAACGATTCAAAAATCATTGCGATTTGCTTGAGTTTCAATGGTTACGGCACCTTGTCAAATCAAAAATCAGTTTGGCACACAATGTATATGTTGAGAATACCCAAATTGCTGTAACCATCAACCCCAAAAAGTTTTGGTCGTACGTGAATTCGAAAAATAATAGTTCAGGAATTCCTGGTGTGATGAAATATAATGGCATTACTATCTCCGATCCACAAAATATTGTGAATGTGTCTGCAGAATTTTTCAAGAGTGTTTTTCTGTCATCAGATAATAATTTCAAGGCTAACTCTTCCTCAGTTAATGCAGAGTACTTAAATTTTTATCTTAATTTGGAGTCTGAGATAATTTTTGCTAGTAAGAAATTAAAAGACAAAATGACGTGTGGACTTGATAATATTCCATCCTTTTTGGTTAAGGATTGCATAACTTAACAAGGAATATCCGAGTCTCTGGAAGGAGTCAAAAGTGTGCCCAATATTCAAAACTGGTGAAAAGGGTCAGGTAGAAAACTACAGACCAATTTCCATTATTTGCAATCTGTCGAAAGTCTTTGAAATAGAATAGAATAGACTTTACGAAGGCGTTCGACAGAATTCACCACGGCGTATTACTTTCTAAATTGTGTCTCTTGGGTCTTTCTGAGGATGCCGTGACTTTTATGAGGTCTTACTTGTCAAATAGAACGCAGTTTGTTGCTTGTAATGGTTAAAAATCGGAAAAGTACCTAGCTTTTTCAGGGGTTCCACAAGGTTCTAATCTAGGTCCATTATTGCTCTTGTTATTTATTAACGATCTGTGTGAATCAATTTATGTAGCATGTTTATGTTAAGCCGGTGATTTAAAGATATATATATTGATAAGCGACCTTAATGATTGTCATTTTCTGCAGAGTGAACTGAATCGTGTACATGAATGGTGTAATGCAAATCATTTGAATCTTAATGCCAATAAGTGCAAAGTAGTTAGTCTAATATATCGTCGTGGTACTTGCAATAGGTCCTATGTCAAAAAACCACGTTCTGGTTTATGAAACATACATGACCGATTCAGTCAAATACACAATTGACCGATTCGTGACTTCATTTAGGTAAATAAAATTTCGGATAAATTGATGAAGAATTGTAAAAATGGGAAGTTTTTTGTCCTTCCTAAAACGTTACATGAAAATGACGTACGGCCTATTGCAGGTACCACGACAATATACCATGCTTATATTATTGATGGCAATGAACTTGAAAGTTTGAATAAAATTAAAGACCTTGGAGTTACATTTGATTATAAACTCAACTTTGTTGAACATATCAATTTAAAGGTTAAAGAAGCACTTAAATCCTATGGATTCATAATTAGAGTCGAAATCTCACTAATACTAAGGCAATTAAATTACTTTATTGCACTTTTGTACGCTGTAAACTGGAATATGCCTCTGTCATTTGGTCACCTTTTTATGATGTACATGTCCAAATTATAGAGCAGGTGCAGCGTAAATTTTTAGAATTTTTGTCGTCTAAAATTAAAGGCATATATTCCAAGAGGGGCATCAGCAATAGTGAATTGTGTAGCAGTTTGGACGTAGTATCATTAGAATCTAGACGAATTATTGCCTCCCTAATATTCCTGTACAAGCTACTGCATAATCTCATTGACTGCCCTGATATTCTTTGACAAATAAATTTTACCGTTCCATCTTATCCAGTGAGAAATTCGATGACGTTTAGAAATACACAAGCTAGAACTAATCTTATGTTAAATTCTCCTCTATTTCTCATGTGCAACTATTATAATTCCTTAAGTGATAACTGTGGTATAACTGCAGCTTAAAGCAGCTTACTAGGATTGCTGAGATCTACCTAGGTGATTGAGTCGTTTCTTTATGTTAAGGTAAAATACTAGAAAAATGTGTTATTTAGTTAGTACCTATAAATTGTTAATATTTCATTTAAGTTTAGTATTGTATTTTGTCCTATAAATGGATTCTGTTGGACAATAAACGCTATTATTATAAAAAAGATACTAGTATAATTTCAATTTTAACTTAATATGATAACTGATTTAAATTTACAGGGTGCTACAAATTAGTATTGGTACACCCAGTATTTATAACAAATATGTTTCTAAATTTCCTAGATATTTAGTTTTCCAGTTAACTAGTCTCGTACATTCAGTAGGTTTATCTGTGAGCCTACAATCAATATTTATTTGTCTATATGTAAATTTATTACGTTTTGTATTTTTAGAGACGCTCTAATTGTGTGTACAGTGAATTCGAGTACAAGCATGTTTGCTGGTTTTGTCATCTTTTCTGTAGTGGGATTTATGGCCCACGAACAACAAAGGCCTGTAGCTGACGTTGCCGCTTCAGGTAAGTTATTATTCTGAATATTTGTAGATTTTAATATACTTGAAATATGATACAGCTAATTAAAACTTTCTTAAAAATATTGTCATGTAAGGGATGTTACAAAACAAATTTTGGTAGTTATTTTAAAAACTCCCTTTTTTAGAACCATTTATTATTTCTTTCAGCTTTTTAAACGTTATTAAAGTTATTAAACATTTATTTTTTATATCAATGTTAATGTATTTCGATTTTCGTTGATTTTTCTGAGAATAAATTGATTTTATTATGATCAACACAGACTAATAAGCCTAATTAACTCTTCGTCAAAATCATACACAACATAATTTAAAACAATATGTTTACTTTTCTCTTCTTCTTATAGTTCTGTGCACCTATAGTGCGTTGGGGAATTATCTTAAGAACAGACGTCTGTCTTTTGCGGCATGCAAAAGATCGCCAGTGTTATTTATGCCTGTTCAGTTTTTTATGTTTCATAGCCATGACATTTGTTTGTGACTTACTCCTCTCTTGCCTTCAATCTTTTCCTGGATTCTTACTTTCAGTTGTAGGCAATTCTTATTTTTATGTCTTCTGTTCAATTATACCCAGATATGCAGGTGCAATTCTAGAAATTCATAATAGGGAGGCTAGACTTGGCGAAATTATTATTATTATTATAATTATTCCAGATTTAGCCATCTCGGCTCACACTTCCCCTAAGGGGAAAAACTCACTCATCCCAAATACCTACGGTATCCTTGAACTACGGTAGGATTGAACTGTGGTGAGGCTTTTTCCTTGTTATTGAGAACTAGGTGACTTGGTATGCTGGAGTATATCTCAAAAATTGTCGCACACATTTGGACGTCGAAAGTGGTAAATATTTCTGCATGATCTTATAGGGATGTTCCTTTAGACCCAGCAATTTTATGTTTTCTAGGTTCTTTGGAGTCGTTCCAGTAATAAAGAGACTTATATGTATTGTCTAGTTACCTTTCATTCTCCGTTGTCTTCATGATTGAAGTTTCAGATCTTTGTGTTTGGCGATCTTTTCATTATATTTAACAGATTATTGTTCTTAGGTATCGCCATATCAATTTTTAGCCTATATAACAGTGGAGGACAAAAGAAATACTATTAGAAATGAAAGAAAGAAGAAAATAAAAAGGGACAGATCTAGAGAAGTATAAAGAAATACAACGAATAATTAAGGAAAATATCAAAACAGCTAAGGAAATCTATTTGATGAAATTATGTAAAGAGATAGAAGAGCCAGAAACAAAATATGATATGAGAAATATGTACCAAAAAATAAGAGAAGTGACTTTGATGGATCGAAATAGACAGCAAGGACACATATAAGACAAAAAAGGAGTACTACTAATAGATTTACCAGAGAAATTAAGTAGATGGGAGGAGTACGTTATAAATCTTTTCCAAGATGAAAGAGGTGAAATGCAGAAAACACAATTCTTTAGAGAGACAGAAGATCACGTTAGATGAAATCAAATATGCTATCAAAAACTCTAAAGACAATAAGGCTGAATTAGATGAAATACCAGTGGAACTGTTAAAACTAGTAGAAGAGGATAGCATGGAAGTATTGGCAGATTTATTCAACACGGTGTACGATACGGGAATAATACCACAAGAGTGGCTGATGTCAGCATTTATAACCATCCCTAAAAAACAAGCAGCAACAAAGTGCTCTGATTATCGAACACTGAGGCTTATGAGTCATACTTTAAAAGTACTGCTGAAAGTAATACATAAGAGAATATACGAAAGGCTAGAGGAGGATATTAGAGAGACGCAGTTTGGGTTCCGAAATAGAATGGTACTCGAGAAGGACTATTTGACATCATATTGATTCAACGATGTCGGGATATAAACGTTGATCTACACCTGTGCTTTGTTGACTACGAAAAAGCTTTAGATAAAGTAAGATATGAAAAACTAATATCAACACTTATGAACAAGCATATTGAGAGTAAAATCATAAATATAGTGCATACATTATATTGGAACCAAAGTATCATAGTTCAAATTGATGGGCAACATTCATAAGAAATGAAGATCTGTAGAGGAGTTAGACAGGGATGTGTTTTATCGGATATGCCACAAATAAATTTTCCAAAACACGCTTAATATGATCAAAGCGGGAGTTACCGTTAACGGAAAATTAATTAACAACTTACGATATGCAGACGACACTGTGATCATAGCAACGAGTATAGAAGATCTACAACATGTTATCGATATGATGTAGAAGATCTACAACATCATATCTTAAGTATGAATAGTGCTAAGATGGGAATTACTATAAACGCTAAAGAAACGAAGTACATTCGCTATATTACATTCGTTATATTTTCAATACTATTATATGGAGCTGAGACTTGGACATTAAAAAAATGCAATTTAAAAAGAATCTAGGCTTTCAAACTCTGGTTATACCGCAGAATAATAAAAATATCATGGACTGATAGAATTACAATTAAAGAAGTACTGGAGAGGGTTGGTAAAGAAACATAACTAATCACCACTATAGAAACTAGAAAACTGGAATACCTAGGCCACGTGATGAAGGGACCAAAATATGAAATTTTGAGACTCATAATACAGGGAAAGATTCAAGGAAAAAGATCTGTTGGCCGAAGGCAGAACTCATGATAGCCAAGAAGCGCTACAACGAGTGAGTAATCGATGTAATAAAAACTGAAGGAGAACGACTGGGCTTGAAGAATAATATAGACAAGTCTATAGACAAGACAATTAAAAAAAGCCTTTTTTCCAAGAATCTGTAAGTCACAATTCTGGTCATACTGATTTTACCACCTATAGTTACCCTTTGCTGTCTGTCACTTGAGTAGCTCTCTGACAATTTGAAGGCCACACCTCTGTTGAGTCATATCACCTGGTCTAATCGGTTTTTATTTCTTTATTTTTTGAACCACTTTCTTTGTTTGGTATTTTGATGACCATTAGTGTTACTGTCTCCGTTAACACACTACGTTTAGTATGAGTTTGGTGCCAAGTATTATTTTTTTTTATCAACCCAGGAATTACTGTTGATTACACTCAAACTGTACTGGAATTTTGATTTACATTCCAAGCTTGAGGTTTTGAGTAATTTTTAATATTTTAATCGACTTTTAGATGACAGTGGTGGAGCAACTATAAAATGTGTAACAATTGCTACGTGTTTTAAAGTTTTATAATAAATTAAAATATGGAGGTCTCAGTAAAAATTTTATAATTTCTGCGCAGCCACCAAAATCTAGACATATTTACCGCCAAATATTACAACTTTTCTAGACCTTTTGTTATAATATTTATATTTTTACTACCCCATAGCATCGTTTTCACCAACAATTATTTTGTTTATTATTGTAGGTCCGGGTCTTGCTTTTCTGGCATACCCCTCGGCAGTACTACAACTACCAGGTTCACCTCTATGGGCGTGCCTGTTCTTCTTTATGATTCTTCTCATCGGTCTCGATTCCCAGTTTTGTACTATGGAAGGTTTTGTGACAGCCATAGTTGATGAATGGCCTGGATTGCTGCGAAAACGGAAAGAAGTGTTCATAGCGATAGTATGTTTCCTTTCCTACCTGGTTGGGTTGTCTTGTATATCACAGGTATGTTTATGTAAATAATATACAATATTATTTTTCCATTCCTATCAGGATTTTGTACCAACTTACAAAAAGTAGTACTAAAAATGTAAAACTAGAAGAAAGCAGAAGAAGTAAAGTCTAGGGATTACAGCTACATTTCTGGTGAAAGAAAGAAAGGAAGTCTGATAAAATTGGAAAATATTATTGAGAAATAACACAAATATTAGAAGATGCAATTCCAAATGAAGATAATGACCACGAATGAACACAACTAGAGAAAATAATAACGAAAGCAACAGAAAAGACAGTAGAAAAAATAAACAAAGTAAACATTGACCGAAACACGTGTTGTATATGGGCTAAAGCTTAACATTTCTAAAATAAAACTTATGGTTGTTAGCAAAACAGAGTTATAATTAATGAACATAGAGCGTATGGAATAAAATTAGAAAGAATCCTCAATATCACCTCTTTGGGCGCCAATGTTAAAGATATACTAGGATATAAGCAGAGAAATAAGAATTCGCATTAAAAAAATTCAGAGCTGCCTTCTATAAACTAAAGAAAGTTCTAATTAATAGAGATATTACATTAAACCTTAAAATCAGATTAATACGCCGCTACATATTCTGCACATTGCTGTATGGCATATAGAGCTAAACTCTTACAGCAACAGTAATAAAAAACTTGAGGCCTTTGAGATGTGGATTTACAGACGAATCTTGCAGATAAGTTGAATTGATCGAACAACATATGAAATAGTTTTACACCGAACAAAAAAGATCACAGAAATAGCAAAAAACAATAATAATTTAAAAAATACAATATTTTAGCCATATAATGAGACATACAAAGAGGTATATCCTCTACACCTCATAAAACAGGGCAAGATCGCTGGAAGAAGAAAACTAATATCCTGACTCCGAAATTTCCGAGAGTGGTATCAAGAAACATTCGCTAATCTATGTTGAGTTAAAGTAAACAAAGTTATTATTGCCAATATGATCGTCAACGTTTAATAACAGGGTATGAAAAGAAGAAGAACCAACTTAATAAAACGAATTTAAAAAAATGAGAAATTTTCGGAAGGCTAGAAAATTTCATCCATATGTCCGATCCACAAAAAGGAAGATAAAAGCCTATACCAGAATTATAGAGGAATTGTTATATTAGATGCAGTGTATAAGATATTAGTTTAATATTAAGAAACCGACTAACAGAGTATTATACATTTGAGATAATAGGTGAATATCAGGGAGGGTTTAATCAGATTTACAATTTCACAGATATTTATGATGAAACAAACATTGCACAAAAGCTGCGAATAAAATCTAAGTTTGCACATTCTGTTTATAGACACTAAGTAGGCATGCAACTTAATTGACAGAGAAAAAACAATACGAAGCAATCAGTTAAAAATAGCTACCAAACTTATTCAGGGAGCTGGAAGGTCAGATAATAAAACAAGTGATGGAGTTTAAATATCTAGGCATCACATTATCTAGCTACGGAAATCTTAAAACCGAAGTGAAAGATCAAGTAATAGAACAAACAGAGCCGCAGACTTCCTAAATGAAACAACATGGAGAAATAAAAATATTGGGAAAGAAACGAAAGGCAGAATTTACAAAACAGTCATCAGACCAATATTGACATACATGACACAGAGAGGACAAAAAGGATGTTAGAAACAGCAGAGATGGTCACGCTTAAAAAAATGTATGGCAAGACACTATGAGACAGAGCTAGAAGTACAGATATACGACATAGAAGCAAGGTGGAGAACATCAAAAGCTGGGTAAGAAATAGAAGAGTAGAATGTAACGATCATATAAGCCGAATGACAACAAATAGAGTAGTAAAGACGGCAAGAGACGGTTTCCAATAGGAAGACGATCAGTAGGAAGACTATAAAAACGATGGAATGACAACTTACTGGAGGCACATTAAAAAACACACAGAGTTATGTCTATAAAAAAAGCAGAAGAAGAAGAAAAAGAAGAAGAAACTTATTCAGTTAGAGGAAATGATATTAAAAGAAACATTAAATTAAATGATCTTGGAGGGAAGTTTGTCAGAGTCTTTTACGGTAAAAAAGGGATTAGGACAAAGAGATCCACTGTCCACAATTTTATTTAACCTTATCCTTGAAGCTTTTTTACGACAAAATGGTGTAGGGACAGATGGTATAATATACTACAAGAAACAAGAAGTTATAGTTTTTATAGACGATATAAAAAAACGAAACAATGTTTAAAAACTGTGGGTTATGTGTAAACTAAAATAAAACAAAACCCTTTACAGTGAGAGTAAAGATAATGGAGCCGAAGATAATCTGAGAAAAAGTAGCGGAAGTAGAGAAGATTGTTTTGAAAAAGTGGATAAATTCGAATACTTTGGAGTGACGATTACGAAGTAGAGCAGAAGAAGATTCTGAAATAGAAAAAAATAATTACTAAAGGAGGTAAAGCTGTAGGAGCACTAAACAAAGTAATCAAATTAAAGTTAATATCCAGGAATACAAAAATCAAGATTATAAACAATTGTGCAACCTTCGCTTATATAAGGCAGCGAAACTTGTGATATTGAGGCTTTATGTAATTTTTAGTAAATTTTAATTGTTACTGTTATTATTATTATTATTATTATTTTACTTTTGTAACCTTTATCAATAAAATTGTACAATTTTCAGTGACAATAAAGCACATTTCTATTCTATACTATATAAAAACTAGACTTGGAGATATATGATAAGGAATTTATATACATTTAAAATCAATTGCTTACTATTAACCTATAACTAATAATTATTTTAAAGTATGACAATAAAAATAATATAAAATATTATGTGGTTCGTTATAACGTAATAAAATCTCACAGAAAATAATTGTATAAAGTTTATGTTTGCCATGATCACAAAATGCTGTAGTAAAGTGATAGGAGTACAATAATAGCCCACGATGCAGAGAAAACAAACATACGTTGTTTAGTAAATTTTTGAAACCAGTATACTGCCCAGCTAACCAAAAGTGCCGTAAATAACAATAGTTGGATTTTAAGAAAAATCAACATAAAGTTTAGAAGGATGCAGTAAATTTGTATAGGAAGATATTTTAGTTATTAATTGTTTATCCTTCAAGTACATTTATATTAAACACAAATGAAAATTTTTATTCTATAATTCTAATTTTTAATGCAAAAAAAGTTGAAAATATAAAATGGTGTCGTACATACGGCACTCTTCCTTAGTAATTTAAATGGCTATATTTGTCGTATGTACTGCTTTACATTTTTAATAATTTAATTTAATTTAATTTTTAATAGTTTGTTGAAAGAGCACAGCATTAAGATATTTTATAATCTAGTAATGTAAGAAAAATAAACTGAATAAACTGAATAGGTAGATGAACCTCACTTACGGAAGTCATTTTAATTTGATTGGTAATCTTTTCCGGTAAAATCGCGAAAAAATGGATTTTTCGCGGAAAAGTCGATTTTAGGGACTGAGTAACCGCTTACCACGCTTTGAGCAGGTGTTTCTTGGTTGTTCAAAGGGTCAGAATTCATTCTGAGGATCAAGACGAAGGGATTAGTACCTAACATGTATGTGTGCTCTAACTATAGAGGCATCTTTTAAGCTATTTTCGCATAAAATCGCGAAAAAATGAAAAAAAAACGTTGATTTTAGGGACTGAATAACCGTTTGCCACGCTGTGAGCTTTTTTTTTTGGTTCATCAAAGGGTCAGAGTTCATTCTGGGGACCAAGACGAAGCGATTGGTACCTAATATGTATGTGTGCTCCAACTATAGAGGTATCTTTTAATCTATTTTAAACACATTAAGCTAACTGCACTTCTATTGGTGGTGGAAAACTTTTTTAATCTTTGTTTTAATTTCAACTATAAAAATCAATAAGTTAAAATTGTGTAAATGTATAAGGAGCGCTGTACCTTAATTAATTTATAACGTAAAAGTTGCTCCTACTTCAAAGCAATAATTAAGTGGTTGAAACATTTTGTAATTAAATATTTTTATTTCTACGTAAAATCATACTCCACTAAGAAGAGAATCCATTTAAAATTAGATCTCTATCTTTTTTATAAAGACAGTTCTAGTCCTGCAACATTTAAAGACTTTTAATAATTTATATAAACAAATAAACGTATCTCGAAAATAAACTGACCGATCGAATCTTACAAAGTATTGTTCGATTTATCAATAAAAGAGCTACAATATAATGATTTTTGAAAATTAAAAAGTAATTTTTACAAAAATTGTTTTAAAAACTAAAAATGGAGAAAAATTGACATTTTTGAAATTTCAAACATTAAAGCTGAGAAGTTAAATCTTCAAGATCGGAACTTATTAAACAGTAGTTTGGAGGGATTTATAGACAACAACTTGTAATTTTGCAAGGACACCAAGCTGTAACGGCTATATCTTCGAGGTTTGTGTTTAGCGGAAACTCTTTATGGAAAATATCAGTGAAAACAAAAATTGATGCTCCGCCACTGGCACGGAGTTGTGCAGTTCAAATATATCAGTAACCAGTAAAATTTTTAAGTGGTCCGGAATACTTATCAGTAAAATTTTTTTCTTGTAGGCATAGAAAGTCACGAGAAGACACAGTTATAAGCTGTTCAAGGCGTGGACGACGAGCATAAAATCCAAGCATGCATTTATCCATTCATCCATTTAACCATTCATCCAATCCATTTAAAATACATTCCTACGACTATGCCTTGGTGCTTTTAAATAAAGCTTCGCTGAAAGTGTTTGCGTAAAATCTTCAGAGCCACCACTCCATCTAAGAAGGCAGCAGCTTCTACTTTCATACTGTGTAAGAATATGAGCGAACGCAAGTAACCCGGTTATAAATCTAATCAATCTCATAAAACCTCCTACACCACACACATCCAATCAGTCTCTCACATTATTACAAATGTTATCTCCGTTATTAGATTCCATCAACATTTCCAATACTACTTCTATTTATACCCCCAAGACAGCTTCATGAATGCACAATCTTCCAATTTTCAATAAATTGTATGCAGATTTATGCAGATTTGACAAAACAAAAACCTCAAACTCAATCCTTAAAAAATCATTCCAAAACATCCTCAACTTTTAAATCAAGAATAAAGACTGTTGTGAAGACGACAATAAACTCTGTGCGATAGCCTAAAAGTATCTACACAGCAGAATTATATGGAATACTCCAAGCAATAAAGACTTAAATCCATCCTACTTCAAATGAAAGCATAAAAATCGCCATTTGTACTGATTCTCTTTCTTCGATTCATTCCATAAGATGCATTTTCTCGAAAAACTCACTAGTCCAGGAAATCCAGACCATCTGTAACCAACTATATTCTGCTATCATAAAAGTCATAATGATCTTGACTCCATCTTATGTTGGTATATTGGGAAACATAAAAGCAGACCAAGCCGCTAAAACAGTTTTAGCTAAAGAGGTCCAAATCCATACGGATCTTAAAATATTGATAAAACAAAAAATTCTCAGCTCATGGGCGGACCTGTACAGTAAAACAAAAACTAAGCTGAATCAGAAAACCCTCCACTATGCCACTACTATAATAGCCTCCTTTTCATCAAACACGTGATAGTGGACTGCTGCCAGTATGATTCTTCCAGAAACAAACACAACATCATCATCATCACGTAGCGCTACAATCCTGGGTGGGTCTTGGCTGACTGTACAACTTTTTCCAATTTGTTCGGTCTTCCATCAACTTAGGGTCAAATGGAATGTTCATTTTCCGGAGATCTGCTTGGATGTTATCTCTTCATCGCATTCTGGGACGTCCGAGGTCTTTTGCCCATGGGAATCTCCTCCCATACCAGTTTTACAAGTCTCTCTTATGCAGTCTGTGTACGTGCCCTGCCCATCTTAGTCGCTGTGATTTAATTTCTTGGACAATACCGGCGTCATTGTAAGTGCTTTTAATTCGAATTAGGTTCTGATCTTATACACGATGGATTTATAGATTTTGATCTTTGAACTTCTTGTAAGGTTTTTTGATTTTATGAGATTATCCAGTGCGAATAGACAGCGGTTTGCAGATTGGATTCTGTCTTTCATTTCTTCAGTAACATCGTGTTACTTGAAGGTGTCAATTAAAATTTCGAAAATTTAAGGTGTTGATCGTCACATTTTGTTCTATTCTGTCTCTTTGTGTTGTTCTATTTATACACATATATTTCGTCGTCTCTTCATTAATCTTCAGCCCTACTTCGCTTGTTGCTCCTTCCACCTTGTTGAAGATGTCTTTCGTGGATAGGATGGAGTCTCCAACGAGATCTATGTCATCTGCATATGCGAGTAACAGCTTGGGACCTTGAACCGATAGCAATTCTGTTTTTATTTCGGCCGACCTCGTGGCTTTCTCTAATACAGTGTTAAAAAGTAGTGGAGATAACGCATCACCCTGATTGAGTCCACTGTTGATTTCAACGCTGTCAGACAGTGTATTATTTACACGTACTGTAGATATTCCACCCTCCATACAGACTTTGGTCATCCGAATGATTCTCTTTGGTATTGAGAACTCAAAGAACCAGCACAACCTAAAAGGAAATCAAAAAGACATTCTAGATGTTCAAACAGTTTTGACAGTGTTCTTAAATTTTTAATAGAATACACGTTTATTTCAGCTAGTATAAACAGTGCGTAGTCATAAGCTTTATTGTTTTAACTTTTCCACAAAAAAAATGGTTTATGTCAAATGCTTGTATATAAAATATGTATAATATTGTAACTGTACCCGTGTCAATGACCACAAGCTCTCAAATTATGTATTATGTCAAATTTAATGTAGCACAGCTCAAATTGAATCTTTTTGTAGATACTTTCATAATATTTACTCATTTTCACCTTAAATGTACTATAAAAAAATTATAACGAACAGTTTGGAGTTGCAAACACTCGGAGTTTACCCCTTCATAACGCTGAGCTGGTTTCAAAAATTCACTAATTGATGCTTAAAATAATTTATTTTTGTGCCTACATCTTGGACTATAAAAATTGTAGTGCACTGAGCGAATATAATGGTTTATGTTTAGATTCTGTATATAGTTGATAATAGTACACCCTGTATTGCGCATTTGAATCGCCTTTATTTCGAAATCTCTTTTAGGGAGGAATGTATGTATTTCAAATACTAGATTCGTATGCTGTTAGTGGATTTTGTCTGCTGTTTCTAATATTCTTTGAGTGCATTGCTATATCATGGGCTTTTGGAGTAAATAAATTCTACGACGGCATCAAAGATATGATTGGATACTATCCAATAAGCTGGTGGAAGTTTTGTTGGACTATTTCAACGCCTTTTATCTGTGTAGTAAGTATACAGTTTTATCAAAAATATTGTTCTTATTCTTTGTACTTCGTATGCATAGCTATAAATGTTTAAAATTAATTTACCAAATGTATTTTAGAGTGTCTTCGTTTTTAACTTGATACAATGGGCACCAGTTAAATACTTAAATTACGAATTTCCACTTTGGGCCCATTTGTTTGGCTGGACTACGGCGTTGACATCTATGTTGTGTATACCAGGATACATGGTCTATATATGGTATGTCACGCCTGGAGATCGACAAGAGGTGAGTCAAATATAGATATACTATAGATATATAGATAACTATAGATATACAAGAACAAACATTAATATTTTAGCAAATTTTACAAAATAATTTTTCATCAGATACAGGATAGTATTCGTTTGGTTCATGATAAGTAAACATCGTACCGATAACAAATAAATAAATTGATTGTGACAAAAACCCATTGTGATAAAAGTTTCAAAGTTTATACTCCAAAATTAAAATCCCACTCAAATCATGAATGTGTTGCCTGTGTGAGTCCATTTCAAATAGATAAAAAGAAATAAAATAAGACTTACTGACAATCAGTTTAATTGTACTACCAAGACGACCGGTTTCGCTTTCTACAATTTGCAAAGCATCTTCAGGTCAGTCGGTACAAAGTACATTAAATGCTGAAATTATATAAAGCTCATATTGGGGTGTTTTCTTAGAAAGATAAAGATAAAATTACAGTAATCATGCCAATATTACATGTCTGTGTTTCAATATGTAAAAATTATTTAAGCAGACAAAGTAAAACTTAAAAATTGGTCGAAAATAATCTATTGAATTGTAATAAATTAGTAAATAAACAAAACATTTCTTACATGCCGGTACAAGAATTAATAATTAATGATTCGGAAAACATAGTTCAAACTATCCTGTAATTGCTGATGATGGGGGATTATCTTCGGTTTTACTATTGTAACTGTTTGATAATTAGCGGGGTTTCTTGAGGAGATAGATGTTAACAAATGAATTACCAGTGTGCGAAAACACTATATGTCAAGCATTTGGAATAACACCTCGAAGAATCCTAGCAAGAATAAGGTTTAATGTGATTGTTTGTTAAATGAAAGTGATGTTCTATATTATTTAATTTATTAAAAGGTATTTATTTTTGTTCAAGAGACATATTTCAGAAATATGTGTTAATTTATTGAAAATGTTATTTACATATTTAAAAAAAAGAAGTCATACACAGAAGTAAATGGCATTGTGCCATGAGGTATAATACAGTGGTTTGACCGTGAAACCACCCCCAATATCAAATAACAGTTTTTTGAAAAATCGAAATTTATCAAGGTTCTGGAACTACTTTCTTGTGGCATTTCTAATTTACCAAAATTTATGTATATTATGATTTGTTATTGGCCATTCTAAGAGTTTTTAATAAATTTTTGCAAAAATAATTTTGAAGTATTAATTTGGGACACAAAGGGCTAATAAACTATAAGTATTAAATTTTATTATGTCAATGACCCTTTGAGGTTGAGGTATAATGAACTAAAAACCTTTCAAATTTCAATTTGCGATCAATCAAACAGTAATGCCTATCGTTATAACATGCATTTAATTTTAATAGGCTTTTAGGTATAATTACACAAATATTTTATAGAAAATTTTATTATAATTAACTCTATTAAATAAATCAATTAAATATATCGGCAGTATACAATACAACAATTGAATAAACTCCGAGGAAAAATTATATTTGTTGAGTTTTTAGCAACTTGCGATGTTTTGTGGATCCTTCTTCTTGTGCCACTCTTATCGGAGATTGGAAATCATCAAGGCTATTGCTCATTAGCATACAACCAAACCACTCTCTCAAATTACGCAACCATGACATTCTTCTACGGCCTGGATTTTGTTTTCCTTCTATTTTTCCTTGCATAATATTTTGAAGTGATATGTCCTCTCATCAGATGACCCAAATATTCAAGTGTTCTTTGTTTGATGGTTGACAAAATTTCTTGGTCTTTTCCTATCCTTCGTATTACTTCAAAATTTGTAACTTTTTCAACCCAACTTGTCTTCAGCATTCAACGGTAGCACCACATCTCGAAATTTTCAATATTTTTTATGTTGTTCTTTTTGAGAAATCCAATGAGATTTTTTTCTATCATGTAGAGTGTTTTTTTGCTACACAGATTACATAAATAGACTTTACATTTTGTTGTTATTTATTTGTGTTTATATGACTGAGGACACTAAATCCATTCGCCAATCTTATCGTTTTTACTCATTTTTTCATTAGTCATTGTTTCATTTATACAATCTTATCCTAAATCTGTTACTAGTATTGATCTCTAATATATAGTCTTTCTTTTTCGTAATTTGTTTTTAGTTTTTTTCTGTTAGCTGCTATTTAGTTATTTATATATAAAATAGGTGATGAGGTCCTCAGAATTCCACAGCAAACTCTTCTGCAGATATCTACTTAATCCAATAGCGACTTTACTGTGGACTGTCCAAGTTCCCCATTTTTTCATTTTTTTTTTAAATTTTTTTAATCATTATTTATTTAAAAAATTTATTAAAAATTATTTGTAAAAGGTATATATTTAAGAACCCAAATGGACTAAGTTAGACAGACAAAACGTTTTCGGAATCCATATTCCATCATCAGTGTCTAGAAGTACATGAATGTAGCCACTAAATATATGGGTAAAAACCCGTTAACAAAAAATTAATTACATTTTGTTTACAAAATTTCTTATAATGATTTAAGATGTTAAAGTTACCGTTGGATTAGGTAACATGGCGACATATGACTCCAAGTTGCTAGTCCTGAGACAGTGTGTCTACGAAGACTGTATGGAAGCAACTTACAGTTCCCATACAGTCTTGCAACCCAAAGAAGAAGAAGAAGATCTTATGTACTTTATTTCCTTTATTTTAAAATTTTAATGCTATTTATTTAATATAATAATATTTTGAAATAAAAAAATTGCGAGGTATATTAAGTTTCTTGTTTATTTTTTTAGAAAATACGTCTGCTTGTCAAAATTGATGACGACGTCCAAGCAGTACGAGCGAAAATGCAACAAAATGGGGCAAGCCACAACGTATAAGAGACTGCAAAGGCTTTTATTGGAACTTTATTACTTATAAGGAGATCATAATCACTTTATAGTGTATAAAAATTAACTTCATAGATATAAAAATACTTTGCTAACTTGATTTTGTAAATACGTGTATGTAGGTAAGTTCAAACGGTAAATTTATTTAAAAAAATGTATATATTCATAGTCTTTAAAAAATGTATTTTTTTTATATAGAATTTTTTTAATTATGTTAAATTTATGTTAATATTAATTACGTTAAATAAAATATTGTAGAGTATATCATTTATAAGGTCCATTAAAAATACCGTTGCTTAATGGCTCTGGACAATAAGAAGAGAATAATCATAGCATATAATGTATTAATTAAACTGCACTAATTTTGTACTAGTATGTTGGTTTCTGAATGCATTAGACATGTTTTTTCCAAATAAATTATTTCATCGTTTTTTCGCACGTTATTATGTCCAAAACGTTGTTAAAAATACTTTAGAACTATGCAATCTGAAACCATAGAAAAAAATTAGAATTTGCCAATATTTGAATGTGTAGATATAACAATTTCTGACATAATTTGTTGTGTCATATGACTCAACTTAAAAAATACTCATTAGTATACTTATCTTCCTAATTAATTTGTATACAGTTAAGGAAAAATAACATATATATTAGAGATTTTTTGAAAAAATTATTTCAGCTAATTAACCCTCACTTACCTCATTAATGAGTATACTATATATAATAATAACGCTAAAAAATTTAACGCTTTTAAAAAAATAAATAAATTTTAAAATACCTATATGTCATAATCAATGTACTTGAAACTCGACAAGGCATTTTGTTTTCATTACAAAAGTGGGTTGGTTTATTCCATTGTAGTAATCATTTTCTAAAACCAAGTTTTTAACTAGTCACTGTATTCATGATTGTTATTGAAATCAAATTTTTTAAATAAATATTTAAATAAACTATGAAGAATTTTTATTTAAGCTTTAATTTACGATTGAGCAAATTCACCGAATCTGCAATTCCATAAACAAACCCTTAGAAGAGAAGAAATACTGTTCTGCAGCCTTTTTGGATATCTCATAGGCTTTTGATAAAGTCTGGCACACTGGCCTGCTATAAAAATAAGTCCTTCCTCTTAACTACTTTCTAATCCTCAAGTCTTATCTTTCCGACAGGCATTTCCTTGTAAAAGTAAAGGATCAGTGCACATTATATCCAATTAAAGCTGTAGTACTCCAGGGTAGTGTCTTTGGACCTGTTCTCTACCTACTTCACGTAGCAGATCTTCCTACAAGACAAAACATCGTCACATAAGCAGACGACACAGAAATCCTTGCAGCTCACTCAAACCCATATACCGCCCCACAACTGCTCCAGACCAATCTCGACAAAATAAAGATTTGGTTACAAACATGACGAATCAAAGTTAACGAAAGCAAGTCAGTACATGTAAGGTTCACTAAAAAGTATCGAATATAACAATAACGATCGACACGAACCACTCACGTACGAAGACAGTGATGTTTACAGGAAAAACATTAAACTTGTACGAAATAAACTTAATCCCAAATTTAAGAAAAAAAAGTTGTTAAAGATGCAAAACTTAAAGTTGCTACTAAAAAATACTTTTACACAAACAAAACTAAGACGACCAAAAACTTACCGGAAAAAACTCTTACAGGTTCCTAGTGAAACCGATGATGGTCCTGGGCCTTCAAGAAGCCGAGAGTAAAGAAATTACCTTTACAAATCTTAAAAACAATCCCGGAATACTCCCTTATAAATTGGGTACTGCAAAAATTAAATCCAGTACTTATTCATTTATTCATTATGTCAATTTAGAACCAATTCAAAAAGAAATTAATACCCTAAGACTTTTCTACCAAAATGTGACAGCTGCAATTAAAGACGGCCTTAGTAGTCCTTATTATTCCGTATTAGAAACTTTTGATCATGTCTTTTTCTTCCAGCTACAACTAGCTGAACAAAAACTCCAATTACTCTTACTTGTCCACAGAGCAAAAAGAGGTCTTATAGACAGACTAGGCTCAATTATTAAATGTATTACAGAAAACTTAGATAGAGAAGACGCACAACATTATGATAGCGCACTAGAAGAACTAAAAAGTAACCAAAATATGACTAAATTTAATAAACACATTTCATTATCGACAGAGATTGTAGAGAATTTTAATAATACAATTTCCCCATAAAGAGTAATCAAGAAGTCATTTTCTACTGTTTAGAATCTATTCGTTCAAACCTTAACAAACCTATTTTTAATTTCGAAGATTTGCTTATAACTAGAAATATTTTAGATCAATTAAGTATAAGTATAAACATTATAGTTGCTAACAGAAATAGAAAACTCTACAAATCTCTAAAAAATTGCGATACTAGGTATTTTAAACAGTACTACAGTGAAGATTAATGAACTGAAGTCAATATTAACTCAAATTATGAAATATCATTCAAGAAACAAACTAATTTATCCGAATATCACATAAGATATAAATAAATATTATAATGTCTTAGAAACAGAAGCGTACTACTATCACTTGACAATTGTTTATGTTCCAATAGCTTATCCCTACGAATACTCCCACTATCATTTATACTCGATTCCTACTGTAAATCGAACTTCCATAGTGCCCCCAACACCTATCTGATAATGAATGAAAATTTTTACCAATACACATCTGTACCATACTCAAATCGGAAACCCAAATTTTTTACTGTCTACTTAAACTGTCTGTCTATTTAAACTTCTTCAACTAAAATCTAATCCTACGAGATGCCAAAGAATAGAAATTCACATTTCAAAAAATATGATCCAACAAGTAGATGTGTCCCACTACATCGCTGTTTTGGTAACCAAAACCAAAATCCAAATGAACTGTACCAACACAGACCTTCAATTAATTTCTGGAAATTATCTCATCACAGTTCATTTCCAATGCAAGTTTAGCACAGAAGATCAAACATTTAGCAATAATCGCCTCATTTCTGAAAGTCAGCCACTATTACTTCCGAAAATAGTTTATTCCTCATCCTCATCAAGAAGAGACTCCCGAAGTTCATATCGAAGATGTCCAACTGGACAAGATTCATTTAGTTATGAAGAAACAAGAAGAAATTAAAACATTGATACTTATAAACTCAAAAGCTACTAGGCTTTTTAACTTTTGGAACCTATCAATAATATTGTTGATTATAATTTTTGCATATTTTGGTTAAATGTGTAAAAATAACGAATTCACAAAGAGAAGATGATAGTCCAATGGAGAGTGTTCACATCCAAGATGATCCTGAAGTAAACCTACCACAAGCCCAACCTAGGCCATTTTTCAATTCCATGAAAAATTCCAGAAACTAAGGGTGGAGGAGTTATAGTCGTTGACCCCATAAGCCAATACCCTATATCCGATGCGCAGCACCTGAACTACGATCGACCCGAAATTATAAATGTGCAACTTGTGAATTATTGTTTTATTTTTCAATGTGTAAAGTATTTCATTTTTATTAATTATTAATATTCAGTCTGATTTGAACCTTTGTACGGTAAAGTCCAATTTTAATATTGTAACTGTTAAAAGAACGTAATAAAGTTCGTTCTCTCGCATTTGTAAATTAAATAATTATTTTTTAAAAATCATCCCTGAAGAAACTATAGTTTGCCGTACAATTGCCGTACCATAAATAAAATGAAATTTAATTCAGTGTGACACTTGCATACTGTTTTTCATAAAATAAGTAACTGAATAAGTGAGTTTTTTTGCCGCAAAGCCTTTGGTATTTTAAGGATATTGACACAAAACACGTACACGGTTATTTCTATCTACACATCCATTGAATCGTATTGAATGATTTTTCGATTGTGTAGGTATTTTTAAAAATATTTCCGCCAAGATATCTAATTTAATTTTCATTCTGAATATCCCGAGAAAACGTAGAAATTTTAACAAATACTATTGCCAAAATGTATTCTTTAGTAAATTAAAGCGAACAAGGCCAAAGGAGAGATCTGCAGAAGTGTCAGACGCCCCCGCTTCAAGTGAGTAATGAACGACTACACCCACACCATTTGAAACCGCTTTAGTGTGGACCGTTTATTTATACGAGGAAGCTGCGGTAATTACGAAAGCGGATTTAAACCGTTTTTTTTTATAATAAACGCTATATATATATATATATATATATATATATATATATATATAAATAAGGATCACTCAGATGAGTGGTGGGTTGATACTACTTCATCTATTTTGAAGACGTTTCGCTATCGAATTCTGATAGCATCATCAGTTCATCTAAAAATTTTTACATTATAAGTACCACACATTCATGAAGAAGATGTTAAATAGTTACCTTAAAAAAGATATGTAGTTGTCAATGGTATTAAAAAGGTAGTACAAAAACTCAAATAAATGGACATCGTATGGTGATATTGTATAAACAATTAAATAACTAACAACATTTAGAGACTTAGTAAAAAATTAGCAAAGCAACAGAACACGTGGTCTAATAAGCATATAATATTTAATATAATATTAACTAGTGAAAAAGAACTAAGAAAATCATTGATTCACTTCCAACTATGCAAAAAATTTTATTTTAACTTTTGGTAGCATTATTTAAGTTAACTACATTAAGATATAAAAAATATGTTTTAAAAAATATAAAGAGAAGTTACCACTGTTTGCTTGGCACCTGTTGCAGTTGAAATGGCGTTAATTAAAAGGTACCGAGTCAATGACATGAAACAGACAGCCAGCCTTGAGGTCGAAAATTATTCGACAGAACAGCAAGGTTAATAGTACCAACCCACTAATTTACGGGCGGTAAATTTGAAAAAGTTAACATGAGTTTGAATGGTAACCCTCCCGTAAGAGACCAAACAATGAAAGAAATTAGCGATAACGCTAATCCCCTGCATCAACTAGTCTAGAACAAACAAGTAGGCAAAATTCATTCAACTCCATATTTAAAAGAGTAATAAACGTCAACAGTGTAGTTGGATATACATCTACAGGTGAATGACGATAAGCACCTAATTTCCAATTTATCTATATTATATATATATATATATATATATATATATATATATATATATATATATATATATATATATATATATATATATATATATAATACTACTAACAACGAGGTCCGTACTGCGTTAATTAAAAGGAAAAACTGGCGATCTCCAGGACCTGGAAATATAGCTGTAGAGTTACTTAAAATATGAACATTTTGAACATTTTTCAAAACATGTGTGTTTCAAAAAATTATATTTTTAAAAAGCGTTAGGTGTCCACAGGGTGGCAAAATAATTCTACAAGGTGGCAAAATAATTCCACAAGGTGGCAAAATTGGAAAAAAAAACATAACTTAATTTTACACCCCGTATATAGGTAAAACGTTGAAATTTGTCAGAAAAAAATAGTACAGTATTTCCTTAGAAATAGACCTATAATAAGAAAAAACAAATCATTACTGAATATGAAATTCAATTTCATATTCAGAAGAATAATAGCTTGCATTAATTAATGAGACATTTGAACCCAAGTCATAGTAGTATTAAATTCTATTTTAAGTTCAGAGTTATTGTCAGTTTTTATATGCTCGTTTTCCTTAATTTTCTCACTTTTGTTTCTGAACCTGAACCGTACACCTTTTTTTTTCCTGTTTTAGATGCCTTGCAACGAATTCTTTCTTCAACTTTATTTACAACATATACTTTTTTTTTGAAAATTTAATTTTACTAGGTGCTCCAGAGCCCCCAGTTTATTAAATATATCTTCAATGCTCTTTAAATTATTTTTAAATATTGAGCAGTAGGCGACAGTTACGAAGATCTAGCGCAAATCTTTATTTTCGTACCAATTCGATCCGAGAGCCTTATTTCTTTTTCTTCAAGTGCCATCTTCGTTTCAAAGGTTGGCGATCATC